GGGTTGTCACCGCGCCGGGCAGGCGGCACGACACGCTCACCACAGCCAGGCTCTCAGACATGGCCACAGGCAACGGCCCATCCCACTCGTCCACAGCGGCCGCCTCCTCCACCCCCCCGGAGACCTCATTGTAGATGAGACCAATGATGGCGTTGAGCGTCGGGTAGTCGAAGAGCGTGGTGGCGGGCAGCTTGATGCCGATCTTGGAGGACAGGGCGTTGCGGAATTCGACGGCGCCGAGTGAGTCAATACCCAGCTCCCACAGAGGGGAGTTAAGAGGCGGTGCAGTGACGTCGACCACTTCCTGTCCTAACACACCAGCCGCCGACTCAACTACCACCGACTGGATGTAAGATCGCAGCTGTGATGGACTCAGGCCGCTGATGCCCGCCACAGACAGACGCACGCAGCAACCAAGACGCCGTGAGCACACCTCTGTCGACCAGCCATGGATCTTACTTACTTGAGAGAGACAAGGCCGAGGTGTTGAAAAAAACAACACCCCGGACCGGCCAATATAAAATGTACGCAGCGATCATCCATCCATCGAGTAACTCGCTCGGGCCCTGAACACACCACAGGCAGACGCACGCAGCAACCAAGACGCCGTGAGCACACCTCTGTCGACCAGCCATGGATCTTACTTACTTGAGAGAGACAAGCCCGAGGTGTTGAAAAAGACAACACCCCGGACCGGCCAATATAAAATGTACGCAGCGATCATCCATCCATCAAGTAACTCGCTCGGGCCCTGAACACACCACAGACAGACGCACGCAGCAACCAAGACGCCGTGAGCACACCTCTGTCGACCAGCCATGGATCTTACTTACTTGAGAGAGACAAGGCCGAGGTGTTGAAAGAAACAACACCCCGGACCGGCCAATAAAAAATGTACGCAGCGATCATCCATCCATCCATCGAGTAACTCACTTGGGCCCTGAACACACCACAGGCAGACGCACGCAGCAACCAAGACGCCGTGAGCACACCTCTGTCGACCAGCCATGGATCTTACTTACAACAGCGAATGACCAGCACGTCAGTACTGAACAAGCAGAGCCGAGAAGAGGAGTAGAGAAGATGCAGAGACGAGAAGAGGAGTGAAGAAGCAGAAACGAGAGGAGGAGCGTACCTGTCTTTACACGACGTGATGGCTGACTATGTCTGTGCGTCACAGTGAATGAATGGGGATGGGAGAGGTTGTGCGTTGGTGTTGAGAAGGTAGACAGAGGGCACCCATCTGGGGAATAACGCGTGTCTGATTGTCTTGTCGGCTAGCATCGACTCACTATCTCTCTCATCTTTGCTTGCTTGCTGTGTGCATGAATGCAACCGGGCCTGACGTTTTCTGCTGTGGCTCGCCCAGTGGGCAAGAAGCGTCCGATCAGGGTTTGCTGCCAGCCGTTTTTTCCTGTTCGCTTCCAAGCTGTTCAGCTTGACACACTGAAGCAAGGCGAGTCAGTGAGGTTGGTTGGGAGAGATTCCCTTCCGTAGAAGCGCTCACCGCGCCCATTGGCTTTACTCACTGATGCGCTGACTCTGACTGCCTCGTGAATGATGGTTGGGAGCGTGCTTGAGATCGGAAGAGCCACCTCGAGATCTGCTGGAGCACACGCAACGGGACGGCAAATGACGTCTTGACTTGTCTTGACGTGTCCGAGCAGAACCGCAACGGAATCAGCTACAGAAAAGCAGGGTCAGGAGAGTTTGCAACGTAGAAGTACGTGTATAGAGTAGTGTGATCTAGACAAGAAATGCAGCGCTTCCTTATCCAATTATGAAGCAGCTACCTAGAAGAGTGCCTCCCTGCGCGCATATCTGCGCATGCACAGGTCGACTTGGAGTGTGCAGACACCTACGCATGCACGTCTGGATTTAGAGGGTGTGCATATAATGAACGTCTCTGTGCGCACACACCTGCGCACGCACCTTTGGGCTTGATGTGTGTCTATGTAGGGATCATGCATTCTGCATCGTGAATGATGGCCGTTGCAGGTATGTTTTTGTCGTTTGCACTGGTTTCTGGTGTTTTGTAAGGCGTAAGGGTTTCATGGGTCGGTATGTGGGAGTAGAAGGCGCTTTACAGAGATGCAAAGAGAGAGCTGCACAGCATGGACACAGTAGTGAGGGAGAGGGGGAGCGAACTACTAGGCTGCAGGTCAGTGAGGGAGAAGGACCGCAAACCAGACGTCAGGCCTATGTTGTATGCTGTCACGGGCGGTTGTGTTGATAGGAGAGACATCTCAAAGACTGTACGGCACGCACATTCCAAGTCCAAACGTGCATGCGCAGGTGTGCGCATAGAGACATTCGTCATATACACATACTCCAACTCCAAACGTGCATGCGCAGGTGTGCGCACACAGACATTCATCATATATACACACTCCAAGTCGACGGGTGCATGCGCAGATAGGCGCACATAGACATTCGTCATATACA